ATGATTTAGTGACCTGGTCGTAAAAGGCCACCAGGTTGGTCTGACAGGACCTGCTGCTGATGAACCCGTGCTGGTTGACCCTGAGCATGCAGTTCCCTGCTGGCCCCTCCTGGATGTGTGCCAGAATAATTTTCTTGAACAACTTGCCCAGGATCGAGGTAAGTGATCTGTGCCTAACTTTTGGGGTGTATAGTGTATGTGCTTGAATTGGTGATAGGTATGCATGTGCCTAGGCTGGTTTGGATGTGTATGTGCCTGAGCTGGTAGTGTGTGTGTGTATGCACCTAATTGATCTGTGTGTTCGTATATGTACAATTGTACACCACGACCTCCTGTCTAACAGTGCAATATTGAGATCCTGAGGATTTGCCTGACCCCTCAGGACAACAATAACAAACAAGTAAAGGGAGAAAGTGAAGATCTCATTTATTCTTATCATATAGGAAAGAAAATGGCAAATCCTGACTTGAGCTCAATTCCCTGTATGTCCATCTGTTAGAAATTCTCTTCCTTCTGCATTCCTGACATTAACACATACTTTCGCCTTTTTAAGCTATTAAAGCTTGTTTGCTGTTTTTCCTCATCCTGCCAATCTCAAACACATGCATATTTAATTTCTTTCTTTAATAGATCGAAAAGATGTGGTGCATACCCTGATTGGAAACCTAGGAAAATAACCTGTTTCCAAGGCTGAGTGATATAGATTTCTCAGCCAGACTTGCCCTGGAATGGAAAACAGCATCTTGTATACACAGCACACGCTCACTGTTATACAGACAGGCACACTTATATGTATACAGTGTGTGGAGTACCTCATATGTGACTTCACATCCAGCAGCTCCAGGGAAGTCACCCTGGGCTCTCCAGCTAGGTTCTGCAAAATCTTCAGCCGGGGGCCACAGTGCTTGTAGAACTCTGTACAGATGTTCAGCAGGGATTCCCGGGGCCTCCTGAACTCCTCCCTGGCAATTCGCTCATCCAGCTCCTCTCGGGGGAGACCTTGGCCCTCCTCCAGCAAGTGAAGGTTTTCCCTGCCATTTGAAAGAAAGGAAGGGTGGGTCATGTCCAGCAGGAGGGAGAATGCAATAACTTGGTAAAGGAGGCAATTGTAATAGGCCCCGCTTCTTTAGCAGGTAGGGCTATACTTCTCAGGATAAACATTGCTCTACAAAAGCTGCTTTTCCTTGCCATTAAGAAGGAAGATAAAGCAGTTGGCATTTGTAGTAAGGAGAGGGAGACACAGCAGGCCTCTCTTAAGAACTATCCATGTTAAATGGAATACTGCTAGTTTCCCCTTAAACAGACTCCCTTGTCTCTGTTGCAGCAAAGTAGAACCCAGTAAACTGGGAAACCATCTTGGAGGAGCCCATCCCAAGAGGCCAGAGATTTGAAATGCATATATTACTGTACCTGATGAAGTGTAGTTTGGCTCCCTGTTCTGGGTACCTGGGAAAATCAAGACATTGCCATTAGAAACAAGGACTCAGGGAATGCCATGCTGGGTCAGATCCTTTGATAGTGACCAGGACCACATGGTTCAAAAAGTGGTGGAGGAAACCCTACATTAGACAGATAAGAGTGTGTCTACCTCTAGGGAAAACCCTAATTTCTATCCCCAAATAACTGGAGATTGACTCCCACTCTGAGGCATATGGTTTTGCCATTCAATGCTTTCTTTTTCAAGTGTTTACTACTGTTCCCTTAATTTTATATTCTGATATAGGGAAAACATAAGATCCATGTTCTCTGTGCCACCTGGTATTTTGCATTATTTCATTATGCCTCCTCAGTCATCTCATTTCCAAAGAAAAGAATCCGAGTCTTTTTAACCTCACTTCATAGGAGAGGTTTTTCCCTCTCACCACTCTTCTCAAAACTACCTCTCTTCTTGCTTTGTCATTGTAGAAATAGGATGAAACAAGTTCCTTTGCCAGTCTTCCAGCTGGGGTATCTCACCAGGCTATGTAATAACATATTTCCCTTAGTCTCCGTACTAATAATTTGTTTTAAGAACAGATTTCAGCTAGCAAGGAAACACTTAGAGTATTCAGTTCATTTTCTTTTCCATGAATGGTTAAACAAGCATCATATCATTTGCCAAACACTTTCAAGGCAGGAACACAGACTGATTCTCGTAGCATTGCACTCCTGTTCTTGCCGGTGAGAGTCTGTCACAAAGAGGAAAACCACAGACAAAACAAACATGAATCTTTGGAAAAATACTTTTAATCAATTTTAGAAAATTGAATGTTTTGTAGCAGAAAAGTCTGGACGCATAAACTAAGAGAACTGTCTAGCCACACTGTCTGAGACTTCATAGACAAGCAATATAACAATGTGACAAGACGCAGTTAAAACCATAGCCCAATATTCCCTTTTTTAGTCTGGAGTCAGCAGATGGGTACAGCAATCCCAAAACTTAATGAACTGATTCCACTAATTACTGGATGAGTTTTATAAGGTACACATCTATTTGATGCTACACTCTGGTCTGATACACTAGAAGAACGGGCTGCAGACTTAGATACTTCAGTGCGAGGACACAGCACAAGAATCAGTCTAGAAAATATATTTTCGGAGAGTGGGTCTCTCTATAGTCCTAAAGGCCAGGTATAGACATTACACTCTTACCAGTATAAGTGATTGGAAACCAGTCTTTACCCATAACAGAACAGAAGTTTGGTGCATACAATCTGGTTTAAAAATGGCAGAACTCATCTAAGATTTGCCCTCCCTCTCCACCAGAGGGTGAATGTGTGTTCTGCTTGCTACCAATCTAAAATTTGACAATTACAGAAAACCACATAACTTAGTCTTAGATCAATTCTACCTTGGGTTTTTTTTAATGTCTGTACCTACCCATAGAGCCCATAGGCTTACACTGGATTGTTCATTGCATGTGCATACACACATAACAGTTGCCATCTAAACTTCATAGGTGCATCAGGGGAAGCGAATTCAGAACAGAATCTTTAACTAGAGAAACACAAGCTTCTATCACTAATGTACCAAAGAAGATTTTTCCTTAGCTTTTAGTAATGTCTTGTAATATCTTTTTCAGCCATCCTTGTAGCTTAGATTTGAATTATGCCAAAGTGTCAGCCTCTTTAATAAAGGAAACTATTGCTCGTATGTTACCTGGTAGCACACACCCCAACGTCTTATAAATCCAGATATTTACAAAGGTTTTTGTGGTGCTCTTTATCATCTTCTCTTATAGTTTAGCAACTAATCTGAAAGTTTTGTGCAGATCCTAAAAGTTGCTTTGTCAAAGTGTCACAGGGCAGTACTGAAGAGTGAATCTGATTTTAGCTAAACTCCTATACAATCTTGCCTTCCCTAATTTCCCTTGCATGGATCTATTTATTTTACTCAAGCTGAAAAAAATACAGCCAATAACTTCAGTTTCACACATCATTAGCCAGTCCATGCTTTAGCTGTCTCAAGCATCAAAAATGGTCTTGAACCAAAGCTTAGGGAAAGGCAACTGAGAAGAGACTACCAAAAAGAAGAGCAGGAAGTCAACAGTGAAAAAGCAAAACCCTGTTAATTCCTATTCAAACGACAAGAACGCACTCCTATAAGTAAATGACACTGATTCTGGTAACAAGACAGGAAGGACTGTGCACATTTGCTTCTGTTGTTCACATCAGGTCTGTCCAACTGCCTGTCTGACAAAGAGCTCAGAAGGAAGAAAAAAAACAGCCTAGAATACACTGCATTTTTACTCTGGTCAATACATTCTGCATTGGGGCAAAGGAGACCAAATTGAGCTTCCTCCATCCTGATATCCCAGTCTCCAGCTCAGTCATACAGCTCTAATATGAGAATCTTGGAAAAGGGGCATTACTTAGACATTCTTTTCTGCACTGTTTTCCCTTCAGCCCACCAGATCCTCAGAAACAGTCTGCTCTTTCATATATGCTGCCAATACATACCATGCCTCTCCCAGGACAGACATAGTACCACATAACTCGGGCCAAAGGCTGGTATGACAGAAGCAATAGAGTAAAAGGCATGCCCCAAGGATTACCTGGTGTTCACCCCTGACGACATGGTGTGGTTGGCTGTTGTGGTACCTTTATGGCCTTGGTCGCACCTGCTCATCTGGGGAGCAGTCATGGGTCTGTAAAGAAATGATCACTTTGAAGACTGAACCAGACTGAATTTTAGAGGCATTCTCAATCCTCAGTCACCATCTGATAAAATCTAGTGCTGGTTTTACCAAGACTAACCACAGTCTTTATAAATTGATATGCTGTACACTGTAATTGTACCTCCTGTAGTCTATAATGTTCAGCAAGTCTGAAATTTCTCTGCCATGGTGGTTACCTGGTGAGGACTTCCACACTGTACAAAAGGGCCTGCAAAGATGTGGCAAGGGCAGCAGTTGCAGCAATTTCCTCGCGAGCAGCTGTTACAGTCTCGACTTGTGAGGTCTGCCTCTTCAGTTTCTGCAGATAGCAGGGAACTAGTGCTTCCAAAACCATCAGCATCTGGAGGCTAGAGCAATAAAAGTCACAGAAAGCTTCATTCTGTCAATGTTGCTGGAACTACAAGGGCTGCAGAGTGAATTCACTTCTAGCAGAGGTTTAAGGGTCTGAGAAAATTCCAGGGGTCCCTGGATCTCAGAGTGGACTGTGATTTCATTGCAGTTGCTCACTAAGCTGGGCCAGGCTTGAGTACTTGGCTGGGAGACTCCTGGCTGGGAGAAATCTTGAGATCTATGCATGTGTACCAACACAATTTGCATATTTGATTAAAATACTTTCTCTCATGTGTATTAATTAATTTTCCCTCCCAGAGATTCTTCTTTTCCCTGTTTCCCTGCTTGAAGTTCCATCCCTCATTGTTTCCTAACTTTCTTTCCTTTGTCTTTGTCATCTCCTCCTTTTTGATTCTCTGTTCCTTTCTTTCATTTTGCTCCTAACTGCACAGGCCCTAAACAAGAATGTGGTCCCTATCTTGCCCATGGCTGATGGGATCTGGCTAGATAGAGCACATACTTAATGCTTCTCTCCCCATCTTACCATCTCTACCCAGTGTTCTAGCAACATGGTTATGGGTGGCTTGGCAGCTGTGTTCTTGGGTAGGGTTGAATTCTGAAGGATTCCCTGAAATCTCTAACCAGGCATAATATCAGAGCAGTCCTCCTAGACTCTAAGCAAAGGGACCTCTGGTCTTGAGTGTTTGCTCCACACAACTCCCCTTCTCTCCCATTGAAGGTGGTTTGATGGCAGCATGTACTCCATATCTTGGGAGTGTCCCTGGTGATACCAAACAGTGCTGTACTCACTTTATCTGTGCCATTTTCCAGATGGGATTAAACAAGGTATACAAGTGCTAAGTGATTTGCACAAGGTCACACAGTGGCTGTCAGGAATAGAACCTACATCTCCGAACTCAGTCCTCTACCAGCATCATAGGTGCTGACCAATGTTCCCTCTAAGAAGTAGCGGTCCATGAGTGCACCACCTTGGTCTGGCGAGGGACACTTACTGAAGGGGGCTGGGGCCAGGAGGCTGGGGCCGGAGGCTGGGAG